TAGATTTATAAATTAATTATTCAGGATTTTTATTTTTTAAATTATGCTTCATTTTCCCAACTCTTATTTCATAGTCCTTATAACTGATATGTAATGCCTTTAGATCAGTGTAGATTGTTATCAGCCACTTTTACTTGGCAGCTAACCCTGTATATTTTAATTGAATAAACCAGAAAAAAAAGGTAAGCATGGTTCAGTCTTAATTTCCATATAAAATGGGCTGATGAACGCACTGCAATCCTGTGAGAAGAGGCGAGACTAATCAAATGAACAACTAACATAATACCAATATTTACAACTTTCACACATTATCCTTGGGGAAAATAGAAATATTTACATACAAAACAAAAGGGCGTGGATCTTATAAAAAGTGCCAATTTGGACACTTGTCCCCCAACATGGATAGACTGATGCCATACTAGCTAAAAAGGTCACCTGTGTGTGTGTGTTTATGCATTGTCTTAGTCAACACACTGAATGTAATTGTTTTGCTACAAACATATAAAACAACCATAAGTGACTGAGGAAAGGCCCAAAGATATGTGTAAGGAAAAACACAGTGTCATGCGTGTTGGTGTTACTAGTCATGGTAGTTCAGAATGTTTTCAGTTCAATACCCCCTCAAAAGTTGTCAACAACACCGAAATGTTTGAAAATAATTTTGCAGTTGTGTTAAGTAGTCTAGATTTATTTATTTAATCTAAGATTTATTTAATTTCTGTGAAACGGGGGAATATTGGGCAGAAAGTACGCCTACAGGCTTTGAATCACCATACCACTGGTATGTCAACATCTACACAGAAAACTGTGATTTTCTTCCCGATAAAACTGTACAGACTACAGTGAAGATGAAAGAAAATGGATGAGCTATGACAGTATAAATATTTGTAGAATTTGGAACACACATGGATGGTTGTTTTAGAAAGATTTACTGTTTAACCCCCCCCCGCCCATCAACATTCAAAAGCATTAATGAGCATAAAATAATCCATGTGGCCCCCTTGGTACAGTGGTAGTGCTACTGGCGACGGTGCTGCCTACGAATCCCCTTTTTATAAAACATTTTAAGATGGTCAGGAGATGAGCGATGCAGTTAGACTACTTACGATACATGTATTGTTCTTCGGAGCCGTCATCCTTATCATTTGAGGCTGGTTGGGTTGTCGTTCGCAATTGTCGCGCCGGCCTACCAGGGACGGTCTCTTTGTGAGGTGTTCCCCTTGCACTGCTACATGAACTTTCACCGTCACCTTTGCTTGCAGTGTGAATGTACCTCCGCGGCCTCTTCAGTCTAGGTAATTTGCTAATGTCACCAGGTGTGGAACATTCGTCAAAATAACGTGAACGTAGATTGTATTCGTACCACTTTTCATGATATTTTTTGCGGTTTGAGGCATTGATTTGTGCTCTCCGGTCATCATTATCTCCATCCATCCTGCAGAACTGCTATGCACAGCGCCTAAGTAGACGCGGCATTGTGGCACGCACACCATTGGCCGAAGCACCGCCTCCTCCTGGAATGGCACCGCCTACATCATGGAGCGACAGCCCTAATTAGTGATTGGTCAGCTTGTTATTGGGATTTGACGGCACGAATAGGAGACTAAGCTAATTCCCCGGTTGCAGAACATACACTCGTAGAGAAATCGAGCAGTATACAGGGAACCAGTAACGGATACCGTGTCGTGTGTATGGTTGCGTCGGTGGTTGGGCTTCATACGTCCGTCTGCTTATATATCTCGGAGGAATTTCGCGCCAATTTACTTTTAGCCTGGTGATCGGCGGTTGGTGAGTTGGCAAAGAGAGACGAGAGAACCAATGATTTGGAGAGAACCATAATTTACTACAGGCGCCATCAATCGACCAGGGCCAAAAATCGTCAGTCTTAACGTGACAAGGACACTGGAGAGACTGGAAACTAGTCTATGGAGATCCTCAAACAAGATAGTCTTCAACAAAATGCATTGAATTTTTTCCTTTATTTGCTTTTTAAACAATATAATATTAAAAAAACTATTTCAAATTAATTATCTGCACAAATATTACAAATTTACTTTGTGATTTTCGCGAATCGCGGTCGGTCTGCATCTGAACCTGTTGTCTAGATCTAGGGCTAGGTCTGCGCGCCTATGATAGAACTACGCGCGGATACGCTGACATATAGACATAGCCGTAGCTCTGGAAGCCCAATCTAGGGCCGGAAGACGTGAAGTTACCTCTCGCTCGGCCGTGGGTCATCGATCAGCTGAGCTAGCTACATCATCTTTACGTACGATCCGATCCGAGTACAGTGATCGTAGTAGACCTACTTGACCTTGCCACAAGTTTGACTTTACCTTGCCTGAAAATATTTGCAAAATGTTGCATTCTTCGTCGCTGAAGTTTGTGGTCGGAGCAGGTGTTGCAGCTTTAGGTGTCATTACACTGACATATGTTCTCAATGGAAGGAAGAGGAAGAGAACAAAGATTATTGAAATGGTAAGACTAGCCATAAGCCCAGCATGCCCAGGCCAACTTCGAGAACCAAACTGTTAGTCTTTAGGGCCAACATGGAGTCGTAACGCAAAGAGTTTTTTAAGCCAACTTGATAAGCAAATGGTCCACAGCTTGCACAAAACTACTCAATCAAATTTTCTCATGAGCATGAAAATTTGGATCTGGACCTGCCCTTGACTCCATTCTTTGGTCCACTTTTTTTTTCAGAACAACTTGACAGCATACATAATACATGCATACTGAACCAAAGCTACAAAAACTGTGGCAAAAGCTTATCTTTGTTTGTGACTGTGCTAGTACACCCTTTTGGATTCAGACTGATCATATTTTAAGAAAAAAATCTCTGTTCTGAGAGTCATTATTTTTGTTGTAACTCTGTTCTGTATGAAAGTAAAAGATTTTGTTGAATGCTTCAGCACAACCGTAATATCAGGATTGTGAAAATTCCATACACCAGCAAAACTTATGCAAGGTTCTGAATTTCCATTGTATTGCAATTAGTGCTTGCAGACATAGATTGGCTAGTGAAAGTTATGTGCTCTGAAAATCAAAATGGACTACCTTGCAGCCAGCTGCACAGCCACATGGCTACACGGCTACAGAGTTGGAGTGCTATGTGTTCACTGTGGGTGAGCAGTCAACTGCAACTCTGTACTGGCAGCTGGCTACAAGGTGGGATATTATACAGATTGTTGGACAGATTTCTACAATGTACATTTACATGTACATTGTAGGCCTATAACATGTACGTATACGCTGTACAAGCTCATTTGACTACTTTTGCAGTCATCCGCAAAGTTATTTTGGTTCATCTGTAGGTCAGCCAGTCAGAAGGTGCTCTCCATGATTTAATCATGCTAACTCTCAGTTCTCACTTTTGGTATGTAGGAAACATTGGGTTGGCCAAATATAAACATACATGTACACGTACATGTACATTGCCTGGCATACAGTGCATTATTTAGAGTTCTCTAGCACTATCACATGCAACCTGTATCCCTTATTTTGACTTACCCTTATAAAGTGGGCAGGACAGTTTGCCTGAAGCCCTGCAGGTACTATGCATTATACTACCCGTATGTGTGTGCACACTCTGTATACCTGTGATAGTAAGCACATCTACACATTTGTACACTGGGAGATAGGAATGAGTGAAAATGTTCCAATGTTTGGAAGTCACTATCCAGCCAGATTGAGGCACATTCTAAGTTGAAATTTCCTGTTCAAAACACTTAACTCGTACATGCACTGATACACGGAAAATTAGACATTCTGTCATCCTGTGTGTGATCATAATTTACTGGCATGAGTTTTCACCTTCGCGTACAGATGGATGAGTTCCAAAAAACGTATGTCCACATGAAAGATCCAGACCGAGTGGAGGAACTGGTGACCCAGCTGATCAAAGACGGCCGGAGCAAGTTACTGGTTGTCACAGACTTTGACCGAACCTTGTCCAGATTCCAGGACAATGAAGGACGGAAGGTGCCCACTTGTCATGGTAAGAAGGCTACTAGTGGTAAGCTGCACTGACATCACAGAGAAAGGTGGAAACATCTTGTTTTCAATTTTGATTTTGTTTATTCCATTCCATTTACTTTTTTATTGATATAGTGCTGCAAGTAGGTGCCAAGGTTCGGTTCGGGTTCGGTTCAGACACGGTTCGAAAGTTTTTGCAGAACGCTAGTTCGATTCGGGTTCGGACATGTATGCACATGTACAATTCACAGTGCACATTGAGACATCGAAGAGCTTGCTATGAATGTGCAGTATATAGTACTTCCGTGTATAAAATATGTTAATACAAGCAATGAATCTCCTCTCCATCCCCAAGCAACTTTGATGTGAACATAATTTTTGTCCAAAACTGTTTCCCCAAAGTTTGCATAGGAGTTAAAATTCCATAGAAAGTCACCGTCGGAGGTTTGACAGTTTCTGACTGTGGTTTGTTGACCAAAAGCGGTTGTGTTTGGACCACGCTTGACTCACAATAACAAAATGATCGTAGGATATATGAAAACAGAAAAAACAGCGTGCTGAAAATGGGAGTTCCCTCCTTTACAGGATACAAGATCAAAGTGGATTTCGAGTGAAGTGTGTTTTGGTTATATTTCACAAAGCAGATTCATCTAGCAAACTATGGCTATAATGTATGAACAAAAGAACCTTGTTATCAAGTCAGCATTCATTCCCAGGACGGCGCCCAAGTGGCCAAAGGGATGATTTTCCATCAGTCTTTTTGGAGCGGATAATGGCATTTTGAGATTTGCGAACAACTTAAAGATCTGGCAAAATTCCATTACAACGTATTAACACTACGACTTCGACCAAACATGATCAAAGGAAAGGCGAGTTAGACCACCGTCACCAAATAAATCTTGTTGCGGAGCACTGCACCGGCGCGCCTGACAAAATAAGTGTTCCCTCTGGGGTAGCCTTCGTTCGCGCACGAGTCTGACTGTGATCAGCATCCATCAAAGTTCATTTTGTATGGCCGTTTATGACATCATAAGGGTGTGGCTATCGGATATTGGCAAACAATGCTAAATCTTAATATACATTGAATTGTTGTAAGATTTCTGTCGCTTTTCATTTGAATCTGCTTGAAACAAGCCTCCGTAGTACAATTTTTCTCAATTAAAACAAATAAAAATTCTCCCTTTTCATGAATTTCGTATTTGAATATTCAAATTTGGGAAATAATATTCGATAGTTGCTCAAATCCAAAATGACAGAGTAGTTTTTAAGAAGTATAAAGATAATATAAATTTGTTTCATGGTTAGAGATCATCCCTTTGAATTGTAAGCCATAAGAGGAGGGGTCATTCCATGTCAAGTTTGATGATCAAAATTCATTTTTACACTGAGAAATCCAGAGTTGTAAGTTTTAGTATTTCCATTATTTTGTGGTAATCTTGTCATCCACGATGTAGGTGTTTTGGATATCAGCAGGACACTGCCGGAGGACTACAGAAAGAAAGCAATAGATACACGGAACCACTACTACCCCTTAGAAATGTCCAACACACTGAGCCGAGAAGAAAAGTACCAACTGATGACCGAGTGGTGAGTACAGATCACTGGTTGAGGGAAACCACCCTAAAAGTGCCACCAAAACAGATCCTAAGTACTTGTGGTTGGCCAACTGTGACATGTACATTGTACCTATATCAGAGTGATGAGTTCAGAATTCTTCTGTGGATACATTTATTTGGCTGCCATGAACAAATTTATAATTCTGTTCAGCAATAGCTGTAAGTTTTTGTCGTAAGATTACAAAGGATGAAGCTTGCAAGTCCCTCTAGGATCAGCTGACCTCCTTATGTACCTGCGCGGTTACTGTGAATGCAGTTTACGAGTCGAAAATGTTTTCCAAACTCTATAGTTTGGTCTTGCGTGGTTTTATGTAGCCTTGGAATTTCCTGTTGCATCTGACTGAATTTTTAAAGATAGTTCGAGAATTTAAGTCATTGTGCATAGTCATCTCGTAACTTCCTCAATCCCATCATGAACAAAACTCTCTCTTGATAGTTATTGCCAAATCATAAAATACTGAATTTGGAAGCGCCAGTGCTAGTACATCTAACAATGTTTGCTAACCATCGGCTTTAGTTGAAACCAATAGACCTTTCTCCCCTTTGTGAAATGGATAGCTTCTGGTTAATAAATTTTTGGTTCTCCCTGTGATGTGGCATGAATCCAATAAATATACATGCACCTTACTTATTTTGGCAGTCAACAGCATGACCGTCCTTCATTTCCGCAGATTGTTTGTTACTTTTCTCTTTTTTTCCCCAGGTGGTCCAAAGTGTGATTTACACTCCGGCTAATGGCCATTGGAAAGGGTCTATATATTCTGGTACTAACCATGGAGCCTGTATATTGGAGTGATTCAATTTTTTTTTCGTCTTACTGTATCAAAGGTGGACTACAGCACACGACCTCCTTGTTGAGTGCAATTTGAAAAAGAGTGACATTGAAGATATGGTGCGGGATGCACGGGTTCTTCTCAGGTGAGACTGTCCTTGCAAATTCATTTCTATTCTATGGGAGATTATGTATATGTAATTTCTTTCTTCCTTCGTGTGAAGCGTCACCATGTTTGTCACACTAATTGTCCATTGTTTGCAACCACTATTATTATGTAATCACTGAATGTTATCATTCCAGTGTTATTTTGCCCGTTCTGGGTGTGTATACTGTGCATTTGTGGCAGTCAGGATCCAGGTGGTCGAGGTGGACTCAGGATTGGCGTTGTACATGTACATGTAGGTTGTGTAGCTGTTCCAATGAATGTACATGTATGCAGCCAAGTGTTGTTAGATTACCGAGCTTCACTGTATCTGTCCTCCGTGTTTGGGGGAGCATGCACATGTACTGATATTTGGTAGTGTTTATCAACTTGTTTAACATTGTAGGCCATTTATTTATGTATTTTCTGTGTTCATGAGTTTAATTTGAAGTTGTTTTGCTCTTGAATTGAAGCGAGCGTGTTTCAACAAATTTCCTGCCGCGGCACAAGGTTTATCACCTGCTGGTCTGGATGCATCACACACGCATACCACGCGATACACGGACATTGTTGGCCAGTTTGCCATCGTGATTGCCTGAGTAGCACTGTGTGAATTGCCTATAATTCTTGTGAATTGTGGACTTTAGAAATGTTTACATAGATTAAGACAGGTGTTCATCACTTTTTGAGATAATTTGAGATGCTGTCATCCCCAGTCATGCCATTCAATCAGCACAAACGATTGACCCCAAAATAAAAAAAAATTCTTACCTACCGACCCTATTTTTGAGAGGCATGTAATCGGAAGCACAGCTATGTTTTTTGGCGTAATAAAAGACTGCGTGCATGCAGTAGGCCAAAGTTAAATAACCATAATAATAGTGGATTCTGAGAACTCTTGGGCAAGTGTAGAGCCAATTCAGGCAAGTAAATTTATGGCATGGCCTGCCCTATCGGGCAAGCTAAAAAGTGGCAAAAGTGCCAAGGGAGTTAGGGTCACCTGCTAATTTTTAGAAATCACAATACATTGTAGCTGTGCCTGGAAGATCCTTTTAAGACTGAAAAAATAAAATATGTTACTCCAATCTTCACTCCACTTGATGAATTTTAAATCAATTTGTTCTTCAGATAACATTAATACCATCCTGTGCATGACTTAAGATACATACACCTTGATTTCATTCTGCCTTTTAGGGAGCATAGTAACGTCATGTTTGAAATGTTGGAGCGTTGTGGTGTACCTCTACTGATATTCTCAGCTGGCATTGGAGATATTCTGCTGGAAGCTATCAAACAAGAAAATCTTCACAGTTACAAGAATGTGCAGGTTATCTCCAACTTCATGGAATTTGATGACGAGGTAAGGAGTACGAAGTACATTTACCTGTACTTTACACATACATGTACGTGTATGCTTTACCAAGGGCATGCAGTGACATTATATACATAAATTGTCTGATGATTTACTTGTACTTTGGTCTGAATGTGTGCCGATTTAGAACATAAGGCTGATTGACCCTTGGGAATTAAATAAATCAGAAAAACTTGCCATTTAAACAAATGTTGGCAATGAACCGAACAGCAGCTTTGTCATGGATGCCTCGTAGTTGTCCATCTGGACTCACATGACCACATTTGCACAAAAGTCATACAGTGCGGCGTCAAGCTTAGTGTACGAAGTGAATAGGGGACATCAACCCCTCAAAAAGGGATCTCTTGGAAGGTTGATTTTTGGTCTTTGATTGAGTTGTGATTTTTTAATTTAAAGTTTCAAAAGTTTTATTTTCCAAAGTCCACGTCTCATATTTAATTGAAGCTTACATGATCATTTGGACCAATTGTTCATAAAAGATTTTATGCTGTTACCAGCTCTTCTCTACCAAGTCAACTCGGCCTTGAAATATTTCAGGCAGACACTTGCCAACTCACACACTATGACGTGATACATTGCATGCATTGAACTGTGTGGGTGACCATTCAATGTACAGTGCGCCAGGTCTCGACGACCACACCTCATCCATAATACGTTCACAGTAAAGTTAACCTTTTTTTAAAAAATAAATAATAGCTGACTGTAGATTTCTAGATTTTTTAGTCAGTAGGATGAGCGCAACAATGATATTTTTCTACTAAGCAAACTATACCTACATTAAAACAGAAAATAATGGACAGATTTAATTCTGTGGGAGGCTGCTGGGACAGTTTATCTATTGAGTTATCTCCCCTGCAATTTACATACCCTTAGTTTATTCTCTAGTGCATTCACACGTATTCAACCATTTGCCATCCAGGATTTACATTTTGTCTTGTTCAATTTTTGCAAGCAAAGCAGTACGTGTAATTACACCAAAGATTAACTGCTTTCATTTGTCTAGATGTTATGCTGCTTGTGGGATTTGCAAGGGGATGCATGATCAAGTGGAGTCTTGTACAAAATCTGAATTGTTACGAACCTGTATGTACCACTTTTGACCCAAATGTGTAGACAAACACTGCATTCCTGATGACACCGTTGTTGATGATTTCCTATTTCTTCATTTGGGTGGAAAGCTTCTGCATTGACCCCGTTCATCCATGCACAACTGTGCAGTGCATGACCCTGGTAACTTGTCATGAAAAAGACACCGAAATCGTGATTTATAAACGTTTCTTCCAGGACAAACTGGTAGGATTCAAGGGTGAGTTGATCCATACTTACAACAAGCATGAAGCAGCAGTGCACCACCCAGAATATTTTGAGAGACACAGGAAACGAGACAACATCATCCTCCTGGGAGACACCCTGGGCGACCTGAGTATGGTGGATGGGATGCCTTACACAAAGCATACCCTGACGATAGGCTTCCTCAATGACCATGTGAGTCAGTCGCAGTTTATGGAATATCACATGCAAACCTTCCAGGTGACCAGCCAACCTTGGCTTTTTTTTATAACCCAAACTGTCTTCAGTCCTCTGATTTCAATATCATTTTACATACATCCTAGGTTAGGGTTAGAGTTGATTCAATGTCTTTTGCCTGGCATTGCATCAAGAATATTTGTTGATACTGTTGAACATTGTGTGTGTGTGTCACCTGCCTTAATCATGCCATGTTATTCGATACAGTTATTATTATTATTATTATTATTGGTTTATTAAAAACCTGCTCATTGCAGCCAGATGGCTGAATTTACTGTAATATGTAAAAAACAAAGGATTAAGTTTTTCTCATTGGATCTCAACTACTGAGCATTGCAGTGGTCATTATATTTGCATCAAAAGAGGTTTGAAACAAACAGATACATTTAAATTAACTGTTATACATGTATGTCAGTAAGAATTAACCATCTAGTGAGCACAGCATGTGTCCTTTACTTGGCATACTCCAGGCATGCTTATTTACATGTTGGACTAAAAAATCACAACCTCCCGCTTTATCAGTCCCGTAGCCAATTTCAGAAAAGCTGGTGCAACGTCCAGTCAAGTGTAAGTCTTTGCCAAAAATTGATGGCTGCGGACACTGTGATCATATTGACCACAGTTGTTCAGCCATTTCAAATTGGACGTACGTGCACATATTGTAGCACCTCTTGACTTTATTTGCAGACTGAGCTCTATGACTTATCTTTTGACAGATTGAACAGAATCTGGAAATGTACAAAGACCATTTTGACATAGTGCTGGTTAGCGATGAGACCATGGACCTGCCCATTGCCGTACTTAAGAAGATCCTGTAAGCTGAGGACACGACGCAGGATGCTGCACCAAGGGAGGATTTTTCTATCGAATCCATCAATAGCCCTCAGAAGCAACATTTTTAAAGTAGGAGTCCGATTACTGGGACAGAGTCAAGGTTAATGGCAAAGAACAGTGCTGAGACCGCGGAAAGGTGAGAATCATCTCTCTCCTCTGAAAGGCAGTAAAACATGTTACGCATGTGTATGAATTATTACATGGGAAGACAGGTTGTCCAGAAAAGTAAATGATACAGTAAATCTCTGAATGCAGTGTTTTTGAAGGTAATGCGTCATCCTCAGGCCAATAATAAGGAAATAAACCATCACAGAACAATAGCTCATACAGACAAGAAAAGGTCCAAATTAAACAGGTACACGTAAATGAAATATTTGGCAGTTTGTACTCAAGTTGCCAGACTGGTGTACAGTATGTATTACTTCAGGTGTGTTAGGATGGTGTGGTCGTATGGTAGGTATAGGGCCTGCTGATTTAAAATGAGGTTAAATAATTGTTAAATAAGATTGAATAATTGGTGGAATAAGTTGGCAGCATGTATGTTCACTCCCATGCCTTTGTGCACCACTTAGTTGAGAGTTTAGCGAACACGCACTCAATCACTTTACTGCAGATTTCGAGAAAGACAATGTGGGATCTGTTCCGACTCTTCTTTCTGTGGATGGAGACCACAATTTATTTTTAACAAAACACAAACAGATTAAGTTCACAGAGATAACCTGATAACTAAACATTGATTAGACAACATTATACCACAGTATTATATGAACCCAGTTGCACAAAATTGGAAACAAATTGTGAAAGAGTGATTTTTAAAAAAGTAAAGAGGATCAGATTTGGAAGAACATATGTCCGTGTTCTTTCCCATTGTTAAACCACTTCTCCAGTTTATCCAAACAAACAAAATAAAGTACCTCGTGTATTAACCCTAACCCTCCTCAATCCTTCACCTGTTGGAGGACTGAGGAGTGTTAGGGTTAAGACTTGACAAAAGCATCGGTCGTATTTCAAGTTATTGCAAATTGAGTACTTTGCACGAGAATCATTTACAAGTCCGTAGTATTACATGTATAACTGCATTGATGGAGTACATACATGTACATGATGTACATGAACATGCACATATGCATACATAAATCATAGCCGACCATCAATCGACAGAGAGGCAAAGTTGATATTGATTAAACTAACAAAGGACCATTTGCAGTAGCTTAAGCATAACATGGTATCCTTTTTCAACCATTTTTTCAGTTACCAAGATATGCAGGATGTGTGGAAAAACTGGAGAACACTTCAAAATTTCGTTTTTCAAATACCCTTTTTTACGTTCGGAAATGTAACATACACGGACATCTTTTACCCCATTTTCTCCAAAATGTCACTTACCGGTATGATTAGCAAGAAACACATTACAAAATGAAATCTGAAGCCTGATCATATGTCTGTGGTATGAATTCAGCAAACTTTTATATAATGTGGAAGATCTCTGCTGATGGATATTGGTATAGTCGTTTGCAGGCTGGCATCGCCATTTTAACAAGCAACAGAAAGTGTTCACAACTTTGCAGAATTTTAGATGCACACAAGCTAAGTGGAAGGGGTGAACATATATGGCAGAAGGGGTATTCAGGAGTTAGGGGTACTGTTGATATCATGTTATTGATAAAGGCATCGCAACCAGAAAGGTCAGGCCATTGGGGTAAATTTAACATTCCTCAGTGTTGACTTGAATGCCATGTGCTAAAAAAATGCAAAAACAAAGAATAGTTTCAATCTTCAACAAACAAAAAACATACTTTTTAAGCTGTTAAATTTAGTGTTTAGTTTCGTTCATGATAAAAGGTTCTGTTCGTTATAAAAGGTTCACTTTTTTAAAACAAATAACATTGTGTAGGTTCAATAACATTGGTGGAATGGCTCAAAAATTGTTTAGAAATACATACTGTATCTGTTATGTTATTGCCCCAAATTAGTCCTTGATTAAAAATTTTGTCCCCTTCAAATACACGACTGTGTTATCATAATGTTGAGTTTAACAAGTACAAATGCTAGGGTTCTGTTTTGCAATTTAGACGGGTGTGTCACTAGGCCACATGTTTTCAACTCAAACAACAAAAGGGGAACTTGTGTGTGAATGGCTGAAGATGGAATCCCTGAGAAAAAAAAAGGTTTGGCATCTGCAGCTGAGATAAAACTGAAGGTTTGATAAGTGGAGCACAGTTTTTCCCACGCTTCATGGAAGAACATTCAGAATCCTTGCATATTTTGACTTCGGCAAAGCTTTTTGAAATCTGAAATGCAGTGACTAGAATTTGAGTTTAGAAGGCAAAAAAGTTCTCAGTTTTGGACAACCTGCAGCCGGGAGTGAAAATATTTTAGCAGTCATCCTTCCCTGTCCGGAGTCCAAACCTCACAACTGCAATGATTCAAAATTGAATGGGCACACATGTATATCATGTATATTACAGCCAAAATCTTGATCAAGGGTCTCAAAAAACCAGTAGTTACTAAAGAGCAGAGCAGCTGAAATAATGCAGAGAAATACAGGAAGTAGATTATGCATGTTCTAATAAATTGTGACGATGGCACCATTCTGCCTCACAGAATTACTTTTTGAAACAATGAAATCTTGCTTTTTAATGAGAGCAACAGATTTCAATAAAAGGAAAGCAATGTTTGGACTAATTTAGTAATTTTTTTCCCACTTCTTATAATTTGGTTTTGGTTACATTAAATTTCCTCTTGCCTTTGTTTAAAGGTTTCTTTTATTGTAGTTATTAGTATCTTCAGCCCTAAGTTCTTTGGGAACTAGCCTCAAAGAATGGTTAGGCCAGGTTACAATGCCATTATTACTGGTACATTGGACCATGTCATCACTGTGTACTTCTGGGTAGGCCTTCACCAGGTTATTGGACAATTGGGACCGGGTTGTGGGGACATTTCTCTGTCCGCACAATGATTTGGATCCCCACAAAAACAGGTGAAATATCCTGTTTGTCCCCACAACTATGGAACAAGTATGTGTGTGTTCATGTGTTTGTACATGTATGTGTAGTGTAGAATGTGTAAATTGGATAACTGCATCTACAAACCAATGTTGGTCTTCCATTTAAAAGAAATTATTTTCAATTGTCAATGAACGTGTATTTTATGAACCTACATGTATTTACTGCGCACAATTTTTAGTGAATCACACTGTATAATATGTACTTGTATTTGTACATGCATATTTAAGAGAAACATTCACATACATGTATTATGATTTAATAACAATAACATGGATTTTAGTACACAGTTTTGTTTTAGATTGTGTCCACAAGAAGTTATAAGGATCTGTTGGTCACTTTTTAATGAACATAGTTTGTGGAAACTTTGGAAAAAAAAAAATTTTGAAAAATAGTCATTGGCCTCATATGGTACTAGTTCTCCAATAGACCTACATGTCCATGGAATAAGTCACTTTACACGTGGTTATGGCGACAAGATTCTGGACAGATGCATTCATTTCCTTTTCTGAATCCTGAAGTCAGCCTGCAGTTTTAGGGTGTATTGTTACAATCAGTCTTTGAATGAGTTTCAATACTTCATAAACGCAGGTTTGTAATACCACTATTTGCAAATGCTATGGCATTTTCAGGATGCTTTTTATTCCAATATATGCATGTTGTATTCTATCTGGCATAATCAAAAGCCTGAATACTCAAGGTGTACATTCTTCCTTGTCAAGTCTATATCAACATCTCAACTACACTACCTTATTTTGCAGTAAAATGTGGTAGAGGAAACGGAATTGATAACAGCTCTGATTCTTTATAATTGGAAAATAGAATTTGAAGAATCACATGAATTGTACATGTACATTAATTGTTTTTTGAGTGATAAATGATATGAAGATCTTGTAGTGTTGCTGGTCTCTTCCAAGCAGAAACATAAAAAGCGATAAAACTATATTACTTGAAGAAAGCTTTCATAACTGTACATATGTCGGAACCAATATTTTAGAGCTACATGTACATGCTGTCGGGAATGAGGCTTTGTTAAAGACTCAAGGTGTTTTGTTGCCGCTGCATTCTTTCTTCTTTTTTTTTTTAAACTATCTTTTCCCTGTAATAAATACTAAACTTCAAAGTACTCTCATCAGAGTGGTGCGTACTTTTCACAGGTTAGTGTGGTACTTTCTTGTATTCTCCAATGTGCGCTGTGGCATGTATGACGTACATGTAAGTGGGCTCATCTTCGCAGGGTTAGCCTGATCAAGGCGTCAGGCTCGTCTTACAGTCGACCCGCCATAAAATAAAAAAAAAATCCCTAAACAGTGCCTGTGTTATACCAGGGTTTGTAGCTCTATGGTTATACCATCATAACCTGCAGACTCGCGATGTGTACATGTTCATACATGCTTTGGGTTATGTGCCTGAATATTTTACACACAGTGAGTAAATATGCATGCAAGACTGATATGTCATGTCCATTGTGACTGGACTCGCCACTCGTAATATTCGCATGTACATACATGTATGTAACATGCACACAGCAGTATATACATGTACACATGTACCTGTACATGGGTTCTGTGTGCATAGCTTGCTCTGTGGTTTGCAGTTGGCATATTCCCTGACAGTCCTGTACGAGGTGGCTCGTTTGCTGTGGTTCGCCCTTCAACTAAAACGCAGTGACCACCTTGGACGAGGCTATGGTAGGGTGGACTGATTTAATTTACGCCCACCTTGGTTCAGCCATTACACTGTGCTAAACTCATCTCCATAATTTTGGGAGAGGACAGTGCATATTTTGAGCTGAGGAGACCATCACCTGTTGGGCCCCCCCATTACCATGCACTGCTAAACATGCGAAATGTGGGCAGCTAACTGTATAAAATCGGACAAACTGATTTAGTATTTTCCTTGTATTTTATTTTGTTTGCTGTGTAGTTTTTTAACTCATGGAAAGCATTTTAACATAAGGGACCGTGAGGCATGGTTCGCATACAGGATACGTATGCAGCTCAGAGAAACTGGGTGGTGAAATCACGACTTTGCATGGTTATTTTATCTCACACCCTGTCATCAATGAGTATTTCACATCAGTGTGCTCATGTAAACACATTCAGGTTGTTGCTTGAAACTGTAAACAAGCGTAGTAATAATGGATTATGATATCCATCACGGGGAATCAGGAAATTCGGCTGCACCACTCACCAGCAGAGTCATGTTTTCCATCTTCAAAATTTACCCCTTTAATGTGACAAATACATGTACAGTTGAACCTCGTTAATAAGAGCACTGTTAATACAAGAGTCTGCTTATAACAAGGATAATCATAGGTCCCAATCCTTTGTTTACATTCCTGATAATACAAGGTTCCTGTTATAACATGGTAATTTGCCAAGTCCGAATGGCCTCTTATTAACGAGGTTCGACTATATACTGCTGTGTTTGCCTTACATGTACATATAACATGGCTTGTCAAAAAACAAAAATCTACTCTCGTGACCATTGATTTTTTCCAGCACAAGTACTTGAAAGACTACAGTTGAACCTCGTTAATAAGAGGTCGTTCAGACTTGGCAGATTACCTCTGTTATAACTGGAACCTTGTATCATCAGGAATGAAAACAATGAAAAACAAGATGGAACCTAAAAATTTCCTTATTATAAGCTAAATCTTATATTAACAGCGCTTTTATTAACAAGGTTTCGACTGTATATGTTTTATGTTGAGATAAATGCCATTTTTTTATGGGGAGGAATATGAAGAGGTAAACATTTTTCTGTGATATACATGTGTAAATGTACATGCAGACTGATCCGAGGGGGACAATCCATGCACATGTCCCGAACTTGAGCATGCACACACCTTGGCAAGTCACAACACCCATCCGCCCTGAGCAGAAGTGCACCATCAATCGGCGAAAGAAAGACAGGTGGTTACAAGCGGGTTCTTGCCCACCTTCTGTGCCGGAATAAATTAGTTACGTGTACTCAGCATGTTCTGCATCAAACGTGCATATACTTGCGCGCCTCATGGTGCGCCTATGCGGTGAGTACCAAAAAAAACGTCCTCTTCTGTTCCGCTGGGAGCGGATTAGTCCAAAAGGAATCTTCTGTTAGTGCGCAATCTGCATGCGAGTGTGATGCTGCAGCAGGAAGAGTTTCTGAACACAAGTCTGGTCAACAAATTTACATCCAAATATTTGATGGTATGGGTTGATAGGCGGGACTCCATAAACTCACTGTTTATACACATGAAAGATTCTTCAAATTTTTGTGCCAAATTTCTGTCGACCAGAAATGGGTTATTTTGAATGTACATGTATGTTTGCTGTATCGGGTGTCTAGAGTATTTCTTGTTGATTGACCACTTGAAAAACAGTTTTAAGAAGCCTTGATTCTCACGCGATAACTGTCAAAGGTGTTTTTTTCTTTTTTCTCTTGTGAAGCCATGCAAGTTTCGGGCATGTGGTTAATTAATGGAGTAGAAAAAAGGAAATTTTTGTGTAGTCATTTATCACAAGAAAAATCTTTATTAATTCAAAACGTTTTCAATTAAAAAATTTAAATACTATATACATGTACATGTACTTATCAATATTAAGACAAGACAGTTTTTGCGAGTTTTAAACTAACCCCCGTCAAAAAACTCATCAAAGAACCTAATTTACAAAATACAATTCAAGTTACAGGTATATTAAGCAGGAAGGCAATGAGCCTCATTTGCTGCATTATTAACTGTAGACGACTGTTGCAATATGTTACATTTGAGCTGGACGGTTCCCCTTACAAATAGAACATGCACAGTATAATGGTATGGAAGCGTTCGGAGGAAACCAACTACAGACTTGTTTAATATTAACTGATGTCAGTTTATGATGCACAAAAAGCCTTGCCTTAACACCCTTGCTACCGTTCTATATTTGCAACATTTAGAAAAATTAACTCGGAAACTAACTAATGCCACAAACTATGTACAGGAACTGTGTATTTAAATGAGTCGCCACTTGAAAACAGCCAGAGAAAACAGCTGGTTCCCATAACTTCATGCCACCGAGTGCATACATCCAGTTAAAAGTAGCCCAAACTACCCCTGACATTTTCATATGACACATTTGCCAGATACATGAGATATGGCAAAGCCACTGAAGTGGCCGGTCAGCAGTAAATCTTTGCACGATTTTTCTGTTATTTAAAGCATAAATGTAATTCCACAGATGGGATTAAATATTCTCAAAATTCCAGAGACAGGTTAGATAAATTTGTCAATCAATATAAACTGGCAATCATAAAACCCAGATGGAAATACAGGTTAGAAAAATATATCAACCTATATCTACACTGACATTCATAAAACACAGACCTACACTGAGGATTATGTTTGGAATCAGTACTAAACCTCAGCAATTGATCCACAACATAAGTGTCAATTACCTTATTTCACATGTACTCTGTGTCCCATATGAAGTACAGTACAAACACCAAGGCCAAGTTACTGAATTTATTACCAAACTTTAGATTAAGCACCGCACAGTTTAGGTACTTTGGAATTTATCGCAAGAATGTCAATGGTGGAAAGGTTACACGGACTCTATTATCCATTCTTAAGCAAACCTAGATATAAGAACTTTGTACCAACATTTCTCATTGCCGTTTTCATTTTTCCAATGCAAATTGCGTCTTGACATTTTCTTGTACCATGTCTGGTGGCAGCAACACAGTATAAGCATATGAATTATCCTATATTCCAAAATTGCTGACAAAGGGAACAAATAGAAAAGGAAAGAAGGATAAAATCGAGCATTAGGGCATGGCAGTACTGGACGTAAACTGTATTTTGGTATGAAGGCCTTGATACAAAGTAATGATTTCCTGACTCCCAGTCTGAGCTTGCAATCCAGGTACGTGTACGTTAGGTCCTACGTTATTGTCCAGTGATTAAATTCTCCAAATCTTTGGCAAGAATGCTCAGCACACAACTGGGTGAGTTGTGCCCCATCAGATGCACAACCCCCGACCTATGCATGGGTCATCTCTTCCAGCTGTCGGGTGTAGGTGTCCATTTTCTCCTGGTCAGTTAACCTCGGGCCATCCGACCAGTGGCTATTTATCCTTGGGCCAACTTTGTCGAACCTGGAAACATGAACAAAGGAGTAACAAATGCCGATGCATTCACTCGTGACATGAAGACAGTTTGGATAGAGTGAAATAAAAAGCGTGATTTTTTTCCCATGCACTAGCTTTCACAGCTGCTCAACACTGAGATTTCTTTAGCTGCAAACATAAACAAGTCATCTGGTATGTGTCCTGTGAAGTCATGCATGGCTTTGGTAAGTGAAGGTGAAACTGTAGCCAGAATGCGGCACAATGTACCAGACAATTTTACATTGAATGTGCACAAATGCAAATAGATGTACAGGGTGTATTTGTACAAAAGTGAGACACAAAGGTCGGTGCACAATGAAAGTGACGACCAATGTACCTTCATCTTAGAAATCTTGGTGTGATTTTTGCGATTGAGATTACTATAACTCTAACAAGAAACACATGTATCCATAGTTTTTATTTGGAGGCACACGCAATTCCACTTCACTTTCTGGGTTCAAAGATTACAGGGAGTCATTTTTTGTGCTTGAGTTTGAACGCTCCTAATATACTGTATGTGATCAAAGGGAAAAGCAGGTTTGAGATAAGGTGAGCTGAACAAATACCTCAAAATCCCACACATTTAAAAGTATGAATTTTTCTGAACTCTCATATCAGAATCTACAGACACATTCATTCTCAAAGCGGAATATACATGTAGACTGTTAAAAAACTGAATTTTGGCAGATTGAATCCACATTTGGAAAGAAAACAGTGACCTGCATTCAGGCAGTTTTAGGGCTACAGATTCAGTACAACACGAGTTAAAATAAGACCAGAAATGTAAGCCCCTAGCTCTTACTTGCTTAATTTGAAGAGCTCCTTCTCTGTTGCCTCCTGCTTGTCTTTTCGCATTGCCTCTGCCTTCTTGGTCATGGCCACCCTCTTGGACCGGGGTGACCCAGGGCCCTTGCTCTCTTTATTCCCAGTGTTTATCTCGTCCCGGTACTCTGTGGTCAGCCGACTGCCCTGACTCGCTGAGTGGTCCCAGGAGGGCTGGTTGCTCTGTACCTTCTTCTGGTGCTCATAGTACTTTTCACGCTGGTCGTACCACTCATGCTGGTAGCCAAAATTGAGAAGCTTTTCCATGATTGGCTTTTCCTGGGTTTCATGGGTTGGGCTAAGAGAAGTATCAAAAGTCAAAACAGTTCAGCTTGTATTTATGGCATAAGACCAAACCCCCAGATGTTTCCTCAATAACAGGAGGGAAGAAAAAACATTTTTTTTCAAGGATTATAGCGATGAAATTAGTCCAATGTAGATTTCAACTCAATTTTATCTTTTCACAAAGCTTTGCATTATACATGTATATGTACACGTGTTTCCATTATTTTCCTGACATCATAAAGTTATAAAGCAACAGAGAAGTGCCAACACATGTTGATATAATTCAAAGGGTAGTATAAATCATTCACAATACAGGAAACTGAATACTTGCAGCTGTCATTACACATTAGATGTGTTTCATGCCTTGAGTTCATTACTTCGAGCAAAACCAATCTGTTAAGTTACAATGGTCAAAGCATTGTTCATATCTGTCTTACAAAAACCTCCATGCACAATGCACGTACATGTGTTCACAAGTTGAAATTCTGCAGAACCATGGCAGGACAAAGAGTTTTTCTAAGCCCAGTGTAGTGTCTAGCAAATTCACCTTCGACTTTCAATTCTTGTCAAATGCTAAATTGTTGAGGCACTATGTTTTCAACACCAACTTTGTGCGTTCCCCCCTAGAAGACAGAAAAATTTAGACAAAAACTACTCACACTTTTGCATATCTGTTCTGTAATTTGGTTTTTCCCTCATCTTTCCTTCCCTTGTCCTTTTTTGTCACTTTCTTGCCAGTAGCCTTTATCTCAGGCAGCTTGACATGCATCTTGTCTGTAACACAGCCTCCTTCCCTTTCGAAGACAGACAGTTTGTCTTGGAGGGAGTACGGCGGCCTCCGGGGAGGAGGGCGCTTGCCTTCCTGCTCATCCACGTGGGTCTCTGGGTTGTATTCTTCATGGACCATGTAATCTGGAAGGTAGACTTTCCTCACAGACCTGGTCAGTGAAAGGGCAGATTGGGGACAAGGGATTGAAGCCACCCACTAATGGACAATGCCTGCTTCACAGAGAATATGCATAGATTTGGTGCATTATTTTAGTCACAGGGCTGCCAATACACATACAATGAATTTGAGACCTTTGCATTTTATGGTTTTTGTCACACTGTCTAACTATTCTCACACAAAGAAATATGGGGATATAAAACAAAACTTTAAAAAAGCTACTTAAGTTTTCAACATGCAAAATGAATCCTCTGCTGTATCTCATGGCCAAAATCTCTTACTTTTCGTCTTGTGCCTCGGGTTCAGGATTATGATCAAACCAGTCCACCCGTGGGTAGGGCTTAGCTTCTTTGGAGGGTGGAGGCCTCTCACGGATCTGAAGCAAATCTACAAGTAAATGAACATGTATCAACAACAGAATTCTACAAAAATTCTAAGATAAAACAATAAAGCACTTGTATTCCTACATTTCCCTCATATTATTTAGTTGCAGCAAAACTAAAGCTTTTAAAACTACAATTAAGCAATTTGAAATAAAAATTAATTTTTTTTCAATCAAAAATTTATTTCCAAGTTTAGTACTTATAAAATTGTCAGGTGGTGATGGTAAACATTTTCAACTGTCACAACAATAAATTAAACTTTGAGACTGTGAAAATCTCTGGAAACCTCAAAATGATTTTTAGAGTCCAGAGAAATTGACAAAAATGCAAATCATTAACTTGAAATAATATTACTGGCATGTTGAGTGGGCTCTGATTTTTGTCTGAAATCCCACATGTAGGCGCACTGGAAAAATTACTAATGTATGGTGCCAATGTTATCCACAATATGAAATTCCTATACTGCTTTTCTTGATACCAGGGTTATATCAAATCACATGGATCAAAGAGCTTTGTAAATACATAAATGAAATTAAACAAATGATCTCTGTTACTGTGTAGTGAACTGTGGAGGGGTGTGTATTGTGTTAATAAATCTTCAATGTCTTTGCGTCGTCTAATGGTCAGGTCCATTTTCTCACCTCTTCTTCCTCTCTGCTTGGCCAACCTGACGTATTTGGAATCACTTTCTCGAATCCATCCCCGCATCATCCCTGTTTCATCCCGTGCATCTTCCTCAATAACAGCATTACTGAGCATGGGTATCTGGGATGGGGCTGGGTAGTCTTTGGGCCCTGCATCTGGTGACCTCTTCTTCGGTGCATGATAAAACCAGTCTGAGTGAATTGAAATGACTATTCCAGGTGAATGGACGCAAAGTGCAGCAAACTGCTACGTGTACATGTACCTCCTTCTACAACTTTCAGTTTGAGTATGCAGCCATTAACTCAATTCTATCTACATGTACATGTATATTCACACATTTCTTTCACTGGCTTTGATTTTTAGGCAATTTCTGCTACTATAACATCTTCCCTTTGCCCAGATGTGAGTGCATACGGAACAACCTCCAACCAGGAGAATATGGAATACTTTCTGGGTTTCTCACGTAAGCCTAGGCCCAGGCTAGGCCAAATGGCCTACTAACCACGGCAGCTGACGTTACCTCACGTTCCTTCATCACTTAACATGCCTACCTTGTGTTCCAGATTTTCCTGCCATAATGATCTGATGTAATCAGTGACGTAATTGTTTTAACTTGGGCTACGGAGGCCTACTGTACGTGTACAACTACAAATGGACTCTCCAAAACCAAAGTTGCCGATAATGCGAGCGATATGTGAATCATACGTGAATCATGAGTTGGTTGATAAATCATGTTTACCACGTTGCTATGCCGTTTTGTGTACTCTAATCGACCTCTTGAGGGCGGCAAACAAAAAGCTACAAGGGTGCATTCCAGGGTCCAGTCCACTAATTCAAGCCCCAT